CTTATTTCATAACAAATTAATAAACTGCATGACACTTACTGGTATATTGCATATTAATTGACTAACGAGGGCAATTGACGAGGGCGATTTGAATTTTTACTTGGATTAGAGGACAAATTACAGACTTTGAAAGAATGTGGTAGATTTTTACGACTCTTGGAAGACCAAGAGTGCGATAAATTTGTGTTAAACTGATTAGGAATAGGCATTTTATTAAGCCTGCATAAGAAGGAAAAAGCAGCTCTATTAATTCAGACTTTGTATGAGGTGAGTTCAATGATACTAAAGTATGTAGGCTAGCTTTCTGCAATTTTGGTGATAATTTAATTGACCCTCTACATTAATCTGTTTCGATTAAAATTCCCCAGTACAAGCAGTTAAATAACCATTCGACAATTTATCTCAGATAAAACTTTAGTCGAATTTGTTTCATTATTTACATATAAGTAAATTTTGCTTCAAAATCCCGCGCTTTTAGTCTTTGATGCACGAGCTATTCAACTGTGATCCTCACAAAGAAGGTACAGATCACTGCCTGTTTATTCAATCGAGAAGTATCGAGTATGCGGATGCTATTTGCAACAACGTAAAGATTAATTATCCAATCGAAAACTTAAGCTGAATAAGAATCAACATTATTGAAGATTTTTCTCTGGATTTGGCTCATTTCTATGACCAAAGCTATGGAAATTTTTCGATTTTTCACAATCAAGAATCCTTTAGTTAGTTGTTGTGAACACCCAACCAAGAGTTTGCTTGGTTTATATATACATATATTTTTATAAGATTTGCAAGCTTTAAATTAAATTTTCGTGTCGCTATTTTAGATAAACACTGAAACTTTCCCCCGGTGGTGTTCATTTAACTACTCCAAAAGAATGTGGAACGTAACCAAATTTGTAGCCGAGGTGAAAATATCTACCGATTGCGACTTTAAAATGACAATTTATCTTGATAGTATAACAATAAACACGAAAATGAGATTATTTCACAAAATACTTCCAAAAGTGCATAAAATTTAGCTTACCAAACAATTAAGTAAATTCAGTCAAAAATCGTTGAAAATTGCAAGTGTGAGCTTAAAATGACACAATTGAGGGAAATATTTTTGAAATCGTGGTTTGCAGGATTTATCAATCAATCATTATGAACAATTGACGATTTTTATTTTTATTATTAGGTGGTCTTCGATATAAATTACTTCCTGACGTTTTGCTAGCAGGCGCAACATTTATTCATCTTTAAATGCTTTTCTCATGTTCAAATATGTTGTCGAATAGCAAAAACATACAAGTATTGGGAATTTGGTGGCCTTTTTACCAGAGAAACCATTTCAGTGCATTACGATTATCCTATTTTTTCTTATCATTTTGTATGTGAATTTTACGGCCCGTCATAATAAGCAATTTTTACTACTAAACTTCGCTGGAATGGGAATTGTATATCTCTAAATAATATTAAAACAAAGACTGTTATTTGTTGTAAATCTCTTTTATTTTGTTTCTACCTGCTATTAGTTCCTTTGCATTTGAAATGAACAGAATATTTATCAGTTTTTCAGTATATTTTAAGTTGTAGAAAATCTCTGTAAGAAGCCAAGTTGCGTTTCTTTAGGGGGAATGATTAGAATATTCGGTTCTGCAATAATTCAGTTTGATAAATTACAAACTTTTCATTTCCGAATTWAAACTTGATAACCATGGTTTTGAAAGCATTTTCACTGAATGAACAGTGTTCGCTTTAAATGCGATATATCTCTGAAGATGTTAGCCATTCCTGCTAGCGAAACATCAAGACAAAATTTCTGTCGACGACAAGTCTAAATAGGCCGAAAACCACCAATGGTTCAAACGTTGACCACGAAACCATTAACCATTTCGTAATTTCACTAGTCTGGGACTAATTTGAAAGTCGTAACGCCCTGTATAGCTTGAGAGTCACGCCGAGCAATTTTCCAAGCACCTGCCACAAATTCAATAAGGTTCAACAATGGAAACGGTCTAAACAGGCCAAGCAAATTGCTTCCGAACTTTTTTCTGTGTGGGTCAGGCCTGAACCAGACAAAAAATTCACATTTTAGTTAATGGTTTAATTGTTTGAAGCCACTAAGGCTGCTTGTCATGGGTTATGCGAAGCATAAAATTAAGTTTTAATGATTTAAAGAAATGGAATTTTTGTTCTTGTTCTACCAAATTAAAAAACCACGAGCAGCACGATTGTGATCTGCTTTATTATAATGTATTTAATTGTACGAAATAATTCAAATGGTGAAACGACGTGTAATTAGCCTTAGCATATCCGTTTTATTGTCAACGTGTTTAGTGTTTTCAAACTAACTATAAATCGATTTTTTGCCTTCATGAAAAGTTTGGACTTTGTTCAATCCACTTAGTCGCTAACCTGATTAAAAATCTGTGTCATCTTTCAATCGTAACAGTAAATATTGGCACAGGATTGACTATATTATTAATAATCCTATTAGTTCCACTCTTCAAATATTTATTCATTTTGCGAGAAAAATACGACAAAACTATTTTTCATTTCATAGCTATACCTGGTTGAACAGACTGCAGGTTATCAATCCAGTTTCCTCATTTAATTTAAGGCTTGAATGGACAAAGTTAATACAAGATCAGAAAAAATTGTATATTCAATTAAGATTAAATGAAGTTAATTAACAAGGAGTGCTTTTATTGCCTATGCTACATTATAATTGAACTACTTTCTACATTTTTTTCTTCTTATTTATTTTTGCCGTAATAAATTTGCGTAATATATTAGAGATTGTTCTTAACTGCATGTCAAGACCGCAGCCGTAAAAGAAATAATTCGCACAGCATTTGTTACAACGTACACGTTTTAATAGTGAATCCTTTATTTTTATCGGCTAGCAATCAACATGTGGGTATTTAGATCGCAGGTTAACAAGATGTTTCAAAAGAAGTATCAATTTTAATTTGCATTTTTGCTTGAAACCCATTTGAAATCAACCGCCTGAATTGAACATTTAAAGCACTTTGTATTCTACGGTTTAATTAGTGAGCTAAGTGGACTAGTCGTTTGCCCTAAAACATACATGCTTTCAATTGATTTATAAATTGTTTACTCGATTTTTTTGGACTGGTCATTGTGGTTAATTGGTGTTTTGCACAAGGAAATTATGGTTATTAATGATGATTTTTTATTTTTTGAATTTTGGGTGTAATAAACGGTTTAATTAGAAGATGTCACTGCAATAATCCACAGTGTATTTTTGTTTAGGTTGAGCAAAAATAACAGTTCAAAATGCGTAGACAACTATATTTCTGTACACAAAATATGTACAAAACTCATTGTAAGTCATTGACTAACCCCAAAGATGTTTGCCATGAATGCGGGCGAACCGTTGGACTTGTATTTGTATTTGTTTTTTTACCGGATAAATTTCCGTTTTCCAACAAAACTTATCAGTTTCTACTTTTTGATAATTAGACAAAATTTATTTGTTATGTTATTTATTTTGCCCAAATTTAAATTAATTTTTGTATTAATACAAAACATTGAAAAATAGCTTCATATGTGTAATTGATCAGGTTTTTCCTACTCATAAAGAAGTTAAATCTGTTTAGGGAAAATTACAGAAGTAATGGCATTTTCCTCATTGCTTATACACCAAGTAGATATTCAATGGTTTTCGTATGTTGATCAAGTGAATCTATTAGTTCCAGTTACATACATTTTACAGACGTCCTGTATATAGATGGTGTTTTATAAAAAGTATACTCCATAAGAGATTTGATGTCAAATTTGCCTTTCAATCGACTAAAAACCGAGCAATTTCGAACAAATTTGAATAAAATGTGTCCGAGTTTATGCACTGAACGACTGAACATAACAGACAGACACTTGCACTTTTATTTATCACCATTTAAGAAGGAAATTTTAAGCAAAAGTTAACCTAAGAACACTGCTGGGGTATTAATGTGGTCGGAGGAATGAAACTGATCCAAGCAGCAAGTTTCAACCAGTGAACGTCTGAAACTGAAAAGGCTCCAAGATAATCACCCATTGTTACAGCCCTACACTCGAAAAATCCCGCAACAAATAACAACAATATAAGAGAGAATGTCGACTATAATTCACTGAATAAACCGCCAAAAGAACGAAATCAATATCGTAAAATAACAATGATTACGAGGGACGATCAGAGCGCGGCGCGAGTTCGAATTTGTTAATATCTGAGAAGTCCTAGGTGGAACAATTACATTAGTGTCTTATATTTTTATTTTATGTATGTTATATATTTTTATGGCACTCTAAATTGACACGAAAACATGAATCCCGCGGTGGCCATCCAACGTTTTGCCGGGCGTTGGTGAACATGATGCGTGATCGGACTGGGCAGGTGGTACAACCACGGGTTGTTGCCTTTTGATGCCCAACCGAGCACTAAACTTTGGGGCCACACGATGGTACCATATCGAGAAAACCGATGGGAATTATGGTAGTTAACTGGTAGCGCAAAAATTGCATGTCTAGGCAACATCATTCTAGGCTCAATCATTAATATAAAGCATCCCGTATTATCTTTAGTATTACAGTTTCTATTTCGCCATGTTTTTTTGAAATATCAGCAATTCAAAACTGAAGTTTCCATCTTAGGTTCTCTCCAGATTTATGCAACCACAGGTTTCGAAAAAACTATTCGGAGAACCATTTTCATAGTCAGAACCAAGAAGTCAAAGCGACATATTGTGTTTTTACCTTTAGAGCCCTGAAGATGGCATAAATATGACCATAAAGTGAGCACACGACAAAAACTGTTTTTATTTTTGCCCTGTATCTATTGACCGATAAACCCAGGAAATTTAACAGGCACCTTTTGGAAATTTTCAATTGACTGCCAGGACCAGATTCAATTCCGGTCCATTAACTGCATTCATGATCTTCTCATCACCCTGCATATTAATAACTTTATTCTTTGCCTGTTCTGACGTGTAACAATGTATCTTTTGTTAAAGAATCACATCCGGCTGAAACCTCAGAAAATATGGGAGTCTCAGAGGAAATTACACCTACGGCTGGGGTGGAGCCGCGACCGCCAGGACAAGAACATAGTGATGGAAGTGATCCAGAGCCGGACGATTTTGCTCCAAAACGAAAACAGCGTCGATATCGAACCACTTTTACTAGTTTTCAATTGGAGGAATTGGAGAAGGCGTTTTCCCGGACGCACTATCCAGACGTTTTCACAAGGTAAAGATCCTACAAGTACAAATTCATGTAAAGCCCATGGATATTTTCCATAAACTTGATCAAAACAATAGTTCTTTTATTCAAACTCTACGTTCGGTTTGCGACTATATGGACGATCTTTGATAATCGTTCTTCTGTGCTTGCTATTTGTTGATGTCCAACTTCAAAAAGTGGAGGAAATATTGGCACTATAAGAGCCAGAGCTCCTGAAGTTGTTAATTTTTCGGTTCCACCACCTCCTACATAAGCGTTACTTAAACTTAAACTTACTTACTAAACTTCAAACTGAATCTAGAAAAATCATCTCTTTAAATAAAACACAGTTTTGGTTCAATGGTTTTGTGAACATACAAAATGGTTGTTTTCGATGTGAAAATATGACACGTAAGGTGCATGAGAAGGCTTTTCGCCCAGAAAATATTACTGGTTGGTGTGGTTTATTCGACCAAATTTTTTGTTCCAAATGAAGCTGGTGTTTCGGTTACTGTGAATGGTAACAGCGATCAGAGTTAACATTTTTATGACCACAATTGGCTTGGAAAACTTATGTTTCAACTAGATCGAGCCGCACCACAAAAATTGATTTTTTACATTGGAATCATCAAAAATGTGCATTGCAAAACGCGGTCAATGAAGTCAAAGTTTAGATACTTATTATGGATAAGCTGCTGATTGAAGATAAACCAAATTGACGAGTGTGCGAGTGAATGAAGATTTCGAGTTAAAATACAATTAAAGTCGCTAAACAATAATAAACATTTTTCCTTAATGAAAGGTGGGGCCAGATCGTCTTCTATTGAACCAGAGAATATCTCAGTATACAGAGTGATTTATGTAGACCGTGCATTACAACTTTTCCAACTTACACTTGTTTTAGAAACTTCAAATTTTGTTCGCATATTTTCTGCGCGAAAGTTACTTAAACTGTTTTTTTTAATTTGGAAATTTCCATTTCATTAAAAGTTAAGTTCTGTTTATACGCTCAAGGATATTGTTTTTTTGTTTTGTTCGTTTATGGAGCTACATACGTAAGAAAATAAACATAATTTAGCAGTTCCAAGCTTGTAATAACATTTTTCTTTCACAGATTCTTTGGAATTTAAAAAGTTTAAGTAAATTGTGGACGGAAAATGTGACTGGTTCGAAAAAAAACACTCTGTTCGATCTGTATATTAAATTATTTTGCTTATCGTGTAACTTAAATTTTGTCCACAAACTAGGCTATAATTCGATTAAAAAAATTCTTCAAATCGAATGACCGATTGATAAAATATTCACGTTATGCGTTAAACTTGCGCCCAGGTCCCGGTACGTAACCGAAGAAACTGAAGGAACTTCAGGAAGAAACAGTGGCACTAATATTACAGCGCAGTTCCAAAAACATTACAATTTATATTCTTGAAAATGAAACTAATAACTTCTAAATAAACTAAAATCTGCTTTTATATACACTGTCCTGTAGGAATTTTTCGCCCACCACCATTGCCTTGAACTCGTCCAGACCAAACGATATTTCCCCTATTCAATGGTAGGTAGAGTTGGTTAGTTCTGAAAATTCCTATTTAAGTAGGGAAGGAGCCAAAATGAAATGGAACCACAAATCACTTCTATCTAAACCAGTCAAATGAGTATATCATGTTTGCGTTCTACAACCCACGATAAAGTAATCGGGGCTCCTCGACAGGCATTCCGGCTTGTCTGCAATTTGTCGGGGCACTCCGGTCGGCTTTGTAAAAGTTTCCGAGTCAATTAGGAGGACCCACAAAAACACAAATGCTATCGCATGATGAATATAGAAATGTTATTGTTTTTGCATAAAAATATGCAAGTTTTTGCCACGATGTAATGGATTTATATAAATAGTACGGGTACCGGCGACTCCGAAGTCGCTAGCAAACGAGCCGGATGGCAGGTTACTTTGCGCTGATTTGATGTAGAGAATCCTTTAGATTTGCATCATTTTATTTTTGTTTCAGTTTTATTACTCAGTGCTAATGAAACAAATGACAAAATTTAATGGAAAAACGTATGAAATACTGCGAAAAAACAAGCAACCATCTCTCATGCAAAAATGGAGTATATGATTAGAGCTCAAGATGAAGTGAAAACTCCTTCTATAGCTTCTAAGCTTCTGTAAAATAAAAAAAGTGAAAATTAAATATAAGTGAATAACTCTCGCCAGAAAAAAGAAAATATTCACTGTAAATTAAAAAATTGACATTATGCTGACTATAAAGACAATATTTTACGACCAAAACTAGGCGTTTTACGTTTTAAAGGTTTACATAAAACACATTTACATTTACGTAAAACGGAAAATTGTTTTTTTCTCGACATAAGCAGAAAAAAATGAAAGAAACGAGCGAAGCAAGTGAAACAGATAAATAAATATGGTGAGGATTTTTTAAGCAGTATGAAAACGCACGACATGAAAGACGACGATATAAACTTTTAATTCTGGTTTTGGATAAATATTGTATTTTAGAGGTTTAGCGTTGTAACGAACCAACGAATTCGTGGTTAAAATGGAAGGATTGAAAGGTAAATTTGAAGCTCAAGTTGGATTTGAACTCGAAATTCTGAAACCGTCTCATTTTGAGACCAAACCATAAATATTGCCAATTTAAAGCCTACATTTTTATTTGTAAATTTCGTATTAATTCGCTAAAATTGTCAACATTTTTCGAGAATGAATCAATAGGTACTCAAGTCTTGATGAAGACTAATATGGCAACTATTTTTAAAAACAGTGTAACGAACTTCGAAAAGGTTAAAATTCTAATAATAACTAAGAACGAAAGGAATCCAACATTTTAAAAGAACCGAACAAAATTTGCTTTTGAATGATAGTAATCCAGAGCAGAGAATCTGTCTAAAGAATCTCGAGGAAATATATTGAAAAACATTATTTAAGGAAATATAAACACCTAAATTATCAAAACTTCGCAAAAAGATATTTCCTTAGCGAAAACTTTAAACATGAATTGCAAATCAATATTAAAGACATGTTATTTTTCCTTTTTGTTTCAGGGAAGAGCTGGCAATGAAAATTGGATTAACGGAAGCAAGAATACAGGTAAGAAAATGAAAACTGATTATACCCTTATTATGGCTAATTCATGTTAAAGTGAATTTCGCAAATTATGCGCCGAAAAATTGTGCTAATTAGATTTCGAAACAGCGAAAATTACAGTTCACCTTGATTTCGTTTAAGGTCAGACGACCGCAAAAGTAGCGTTTGTTGCTTTATGTAATAGCGGTTAAAAGTCTAAATAAATCAGTTGAATTGACAGAGAAAAAAGGTCAACTGAACTGATCATCCGTTCTCATTGAGCTACAATTGAAGGAGAGAAGACGAGTTTTGAGATTTTTATGAGAGAATAAATGAGTATTTAATAATAAATAATGTTCATTAGAATAAAAGTTGGAAAAGGTTTTTTGTGGCAATTATTTTTGAGTCAGGATTTTAGAGGGTTTAGTCTTAAACGGACTTAAAGTCAGAACTTTAAATCCAGTTACGATACGATTAACTTTGCTAGTTTTTAACACCACTTAATTGCAAATCGCTTAGTTTCCTTTCTTTAAATCCAAGTTTTAGAGCGTCGTTAGATCCGGGCTCTGGTAAAAGATTTCAGATGAAAGCGTTAAAACAAAAGTTACTGATGCTTTTAAATCTGCTTCAAGTTATTGCATTACTTTTTAATCGGACTGAGCTGCACGTTGAGATTATTAGCTTTAAATCTAGTAAAATATCTTTGAAACCTGACGGTTTCTACGGATTTTATCAAAGAGGGTTGAGGCAAAAGTTAGACTTTTAAATCCCGTTGCTATTGCCTGATGAGATGGGCAGTTAAAATAGAACAGCAACTAATTTAAAATCGCTTAGTTTGCTTTCTTTAAATCCAGTAAACTGTCTTTAAAACTTGAAGTACTTACGTTAAATTGTCGCGGGTCGAAAAGTATTCCTTTTTTAAATCCAGGCGTGATTCAAACGTTTGAAAAGGTGCGAATGTATGTGGCCCAGTTATATGTCAACATCTAAATCACTTTTCGCTAAAATACGTCCAAAAAGAAAATAATTCGATCGAATAACCTGAGGATTGAATAGAAATGTACAAAATAATAAACTATTAAATCCTACCCAACACTAAAAAACTGAACAAATAAATAATAAAGAGAAATAAACATAGACTTTGCTCTAATTCACTTCCGTTGTTGTGGTCCTTCATTAACCCTCAAAGCAGAAAATTTTGCCACTTCAGTTTTTCTGCTCATCGCGAATTTAGCCAATTCTCTAATTGAAGCCTTTGCTCGATTATTTCAGTTTAAAGTTCACCCATTGATATCTTCCGATTTCCTCTTTCAAACTATAATTACAATTCACTCAGGCCATTTTCAGATACGAAAAAGATGTTGAAAGGCCGGCCAGAAATAACGCCTTTCGGATTATTTAATGAACCTTCCGGTAATGGCACACGCAACGAAAAAATTAGGGAAATAAATTAGCCGGTTATTTAGCCGCTTGATTATTGTTTTAGTAGGCCGTAATTTGTTTGTGTGGTGCCAATTTAGTTGAATGTAAAATGCCCGATTTAAAAAACAATTAAGGTTTTAAAAAAATGAGCGTAACTGTAAAATTCCAGATGATTCTTGTTGGGAACAGCAGCAGACTTTAAAGTGTGCAGAATGACTAGTAATGAGTGGAGTGCTCAGTGAAATTTGTGTTCAAGAATACAAGCAGTTAATTTACCAAAAGCAATTAAATATCAAAGATCTAAGTACAGTTGCATAAGTAAAAACAAGATATTTTCCTAAAAGGAACTTAAATTAAAAATTCGGAATTCCTTCGTTAAAAGAGTTACGATTTTGCTTGWAACTGGTGAATTTTGATTKCTTGYTTATTTATAGCTTATTACATAATGGGGAATAAAATAATCTAATTGAAATTAATAAGGAAAAATTGAAGTTAATCTGGCCATATCAGAATAAACCGCATTTTCAACTGACTTTCAGCAGACGTTTATGTCGTTCGGATAATTCGGTTTGCATGTGGTTCTTCGTTTGGTAAATGATTGTAATTTTGTTTACAGCTTTAACGCCATAATGGCATTATAATTAGGCTTCAATTTACTGCACCACGATTTAATATTTTGGTAAATTGGCTCATTGCGGCTCAGAAAACATTTTCCAGGTCCCGTTAAAACCGTTGCCGTTTGATTGGATTATCAATGTTTACAGTATTTACGGCGATCACTTAAATGCGCCACACAACGTACGTATCCCTTCATTATTTTTTAATCAAGATGTAAAATTATTATGTCCACCCCAAGTCCCAATTTTCTGAAAGTAAAAACCCGTAAACACCTGTTGTGTTGAAATGACACACCGCTAGAGGAAGCAAGTCATTTGAGAGATGTTTTTTTTCGAACACCGAGTACAGTCACGGACTTGAGCGATTAGGTTTAATTAAATAAATTATATGTCTCCATTTCGCAAGAATTGTAGTTTGTGAAGGTTAGCCGAGTCGGGATCATCCTTGAAAGAATGCGGATGAGCAGCAGCTCAATCAGCTTTAGGTACTTTTCGTTATTTTTCAGACTCGTCGGTTACTTTTCTATAGTTGTAATCAAGGTTTTTGCCTCAATGCTGCAATTATTAGAGAAAAAAGGCCTGAGAACGACCAATTAGGATGTCGTTTGAAACGTCTTTGTTCCATTCGTTGATTTGGCGGCGATTCTCAATCTTAAGCAATACTCCTGGGGAAGTAACTCGTACCTAACACCAATACCTTAAACGAGACAAACAGATAATTTTAGCATTTTCACTTTACAGGCAACAAGCAATTTGCTTTGAAACTGAAGTTTTCAAAGATTTTTTAGTTGAAAGTTTAAAGCTCAAGCATTCAGTTAAAACTTATATTGATTGAATTCGACAATCAGGGCAGTGGAGCAAAAGTGAAAATTTTCTCCTAAAAATTCAATTTTCCGCAAATGGCTGTTTGACAATGAAATCTGTTTGGTTCCTTGAAAAGACTGAAATTGAAAGTTAAAGTTGAGCTTGAAAGTACATTTATAAAACCGTCTCGCCTCGAGATCAAAGATTTCAGAATAACGCTTGCATCTTTCAAATAAGCAGAAAAGTATCAAAACACGGGATAAGAAAAACATAATTGAAAGTTGAAAGTGCGGAATTTCAGTTCTGCAAACATATAGAATTGTCCAATAAACTTTTAAATTTAAAGGTGAAATTTCAGAATATCAATTTCTAGTCGCATTTTACAATGGTCAATCTACATTCAGCTAATTAAAAGCTTAAAGTCAACTGAAATTGGGAATTGAATTTAAGTTGAGCTTGAAAGGGCATTTATAAAACTGGCTTACCTCAGATCAAAGATTTGATAAAACCAGTTATATTTTTACCAAATATTCTGCAAAAGTTAAAAGCAAAATTTTCGTTCATCAAAGATATGAAATTGTCGCTATAAAATTTACAGTTTAAAACTGAAACTTCAGAATCTTAATTTTTAGTCTGTTTAAAATCCAAATTGAGCTCACTAAACTCGGTTTCTTTGTTTAAAAGGCTTCGTTGAAGCCGTTTTGTCTTGAGGTCAAACACTAAATTTCGCTAAAGTAGAGCCTAAATTTTCAGCTCAAAGTTAATCTTCAGATGTATAACTTAAAATGTTCCATTTTCAATCAACACTTATTTAGGAAAATCGGTTGAGTAGTGAATCGGAAATTTTTTATATCAGAATAAAAATTTGCAGACTTAATGTTAAAGGCAAGAAAAAAGGAAAATGCCGAAATTAAATAAGTTGTTTGTTAAAATTTTGGAAATTTGAGTTTTCTAGTTTCAGGATATTTTTCTTCTTATACCTTTTCCTTCTTGTATTTAATTTTTTCAAAATTTCGATATTAAAATTTATGGGCAAAAAATTCAAAAATTCAAATTCAAACAGTTGCGTTTAAAGCCCACATGTCAAGTTTAAAATTCAACCCACGACTTTGATTTTGATGTTAAAATTTGCTTTTCGTTTTTCGAGTTTAAAATTTAAACGTTCTTAATTAAGACCGTTTAATCTTTACTTTGATTAAAATTGGGCGAAAGTTTCAATCGTAATTTTCTTTGAAATTTCTCTCCGGTTTAGAGTCACACTTCTCAGCATAAATTCGAATTTCCTGAAACCAAATTTGTAATCGAAATTCGGGCTCCAAGTAAGAATTTTTTTAATAGTTAGTTTCAGACTTTAGTTGCACGTTTCCGTATTTTGAGACTAGAAATAACCAACCAAAAAATTCAACAGAAATCAAAATAGAAAGCAGAAATTTCAGTGTTAAAATGAAGTGCATTATAAATAACAAATTTAACTAGAACCAATTCTTTATCATGTTCAAATTAGTATGAGAATGATGACAAATTTTATTCCCGCAATTTCTAAACTGTTATTCCCTAATGAATTTACCTAAGCATTTAAAAAATCAAACGATTGTCCTCTGTTCGCTTTTATACTAATTGAACCTTCTGTGGTAAAAATGTCTTCATCTAATGACTTCGAATGACTGTGAAGCTGTGAAGGCAATATTATGATCTGGAAAGCGAAACGAAGTCGGATTAATCAGTACTCTAAATTCATCAAATCCAAACCGAATAACCTTAAGTTGATTTCTGATGCTGATTGACTACACAATAACGCGTCTTTGCATATTCCCATGAACAGCAACACATAAAAGCATCATCACTTAATTGCTTTTCATTACATGCCACTTTGTTCTGGTTAGCCTAGAAATACATGCAACTTGCTTGCACTGCAACTTGCTAATAAACTCAATAACAATATTCATTCTAATGGCATTATTGTCCACCGCAACCAAGCAAAATCAGGACAGGTAATTTACTCTGTAAACAATATGAAAACGGTTGGAGAATAGCTCAATTTGACCACCGATACGGCCTAGTCATCATTCTCGTATATAAGCTGGCAGCTTTTCATTTCTTTGTGTCAGTAAAACCCAATAAAAGATCATTTTAATAAGTTATAGAACACTTTATTTTCCACTGATTGCTAAATTTCATGGC